GGCCTGTGGCATCAAACGGCGATAAGGTCAACAAAAGCTACCTGTGCTCGGCATATCCGTTGGCTTCACACTTGACAGCAAAAGGAAGTTGTAGCAAACCCCTGCATCCTTGACCATCGCGCCCGGCACAATGCGTTGCTTGATGCGGTCCTCTTCAAGCATCGCGGCTTTGCAGTTGAGGCGCGCAATGGAACTAAGTTGCGTAAAGTCAGCCCCGAACTCCCACAGTATGGATTTCCGACTGTTGAGCCCTGTCCTCGCACCAAACTTGCTTCCTGTAGACATGCTTTTTCGGCAGCTCCACAGGTTGCAGCTCTGCCAGATCTGCAAAAATTTGTGTGCCATCCTGACATAGAAGGAAGGCTCGCGATCCGGCTTCCAGGCGCACGATGATGGCTCGGCCCTCAGACCGCCCTGCCACCATAACAAGTTGCCCAATTGTGAACTCGCCAATGCGGTCGTAGGTTTCTGGCTTTTCAAAACCTGCAGGGCATGAACATAAGACCCCACCCTGCGTGCCACTACACTACACTGCTTCGGCACTTCTTTGCCACCACACATTCCTCACCTCTCCGCAGGTCGTTTACACTTGCCCTGAAGGATGTGTGGTCGCTCGTCAGGACTTGAACTGTTGCATGCGGGCCCCACTCACGGCTTGGACCCAGGTCAACTCGCTCCACATGACCAGCCTCATGAACATGTCGAGAGCTGGCAAGGTGGGATGGTCGGGAAACATGAGTCCGTAGCTGGTGCTATGGGGGCTCGCAGCCACACTCCATTGTATACATTTGTCAGCTGTTCGACCAGAAAACATAGGAAGGAATCGTGAGACCAGCATAGCATGGCATATCACGAGCAAATTGTGTTGCTAACTCTAGGATACGGGTAGCTAAAAGCATGGAGCCTTGCGGTCTTGTCTGAAGGTTGCGCGTCACCAGCACAATCTCTGTGTACCACGAAACTACCCCCAAAGGAAATTCAACACATGATGCCTTGCCTGCCCCAGCAAACCTGTTGCATGCAACCATTAATGATCACTGCGCATCTTGCAGCAAGCCTTGCTTCCCAGTCCGGAAGAAAACATTCAAGTCGCGTTTGAAAGTTTTTCCCTCATTGTAGCCGAAGCAATCATGTTGTCCCTACCGATTGATTTTTGCTGCAGGTTGATCGTTTAAAACCCAGTGAAGCGGGAGCTGTTGCTCACCTTGTGGGAAAGGATGCTTGATGTGCAGCATGTGAAGATTACGAAAAGCAAATCTTGACAGCTTACTGCTCACCCTTGAAGGTTGCAATTCTCGGAACGTGTTCGCAGAAACGAAGCCGCTGAAGCCTGCGTAGAAGCATCTCTGTCACATCTGGTCGCCCCTCACACAACGTGCTTGTTCCAGGCTTCTTCGTCATTCTTCTCCATGGTTTTCCATACAAGCCCGCTCACTTGCAATCACATCTCAACCAGGAAGCCTCCGTGCGGGCGCACACAACACCGAGCACGGATAATTCCACGACGGAGACGGCAACTTTCCACATCTTCACGAGCTGCGACAGAAAGCAAATGCGCAGGGTGACAACATGCTTTTCATTTGACACAACCACAGCGGTGAGAGCACTCGAGTCCAAGAGGAAAGGACGCTCACAATATGGAGCCACATGAGCAGACCCTTTTTGGTGGTTAAGTCAAGAAAGCGTACATTCTTATACGATATAAATAATCTTACTCCATCTTCGAAGCCATTGTATCCCCCAACCGTTCTGTTTGCAGTGTTCGCATATGCCTGGGCGGATGTTTGGATGCTTAACAACTGCAAGACTGGCCCATGGTAGTAAGCCAACTGAAGAGATGTTGGGACCTACAAGCTCAGTATTGAGACTGTATTGAGGGGTCACTACTTGCGTCGTCTCAAGATGTCTCCAGGACAGAGGCTATTTTGACAGCAAACTCTTGTTCAGCCAAGGGTTCGTGATGCAAATGCCACACCATATATACAGCACAACCGTACAACACACACACACAAACACGAGACACTGCTATGGTCGTGTCTCCCGTGCAGAACAAGGGACGTCCCCTTGATGCTCGCCCGCAGTGACATTCACGTAGTCTCCCACCTCGAAAAACTTGCACAGCCTGCTAGTCAGGATGGGCAAGTCACCGCCCAGCTTGATGCCCACGTTAATGGGCTTCATTTGGACTGTCTTTGAGCCTGACAGAGCATTCGTCACCGTGCCGCGCAGATTCTTTAAATCACCGCTGATCACGATGACCTTGTCCCCTTCATGCAACGATGGGCCGGGAGCTGCTTGAGTTTTTATAGGCAAAGGAGGAGGAGGCATGGCGTCTTTGTCCAGGTCTGTCTCGGGTCGAACGTTTGCTGAGATGGCCGGCGCATTTCGCCAGTCTTGAATCTCATGCTCAGATGGCCGCACCTGATCCCCTGACTCAAACCAGGCACGCTTGAAGTTTTTGAACAGGAATCCGTCTCTGTAAGTTTCGCCGTCCACGACATAGAACTGCTTGAAGCCCTTCTGCGTCCGTCGGGATTCGACGTTCACAAGGAGCTCTTGCTTTGCCTCAATGTCGGTGCGATTGAACCACGCTGGCGCATTTCTCTTTTTGGCCTTGCCAGGGCCTACACGTCCTATCCTTGGCTTGAGCTTCAGCATGTACATGTCGTCCTCAATTTCTTCGACCATGGCCAGGTCACCAGCATATGGCCAACGCTTCATCCTCACCCAATCTCCGGGTTGCAGAAGCCGGGTCTTCTGTGCGTGGTCGTGTGCAGCAGAAAAAACCAGAGCCATCTGGTCTGTAGGGACCAGCGACAATCCAGAGAACTGCGATATACCTCGAATGCCTTTGGTAAAGGCTCGTATATCTGCTTCCTTATGAGCTTCCATGTAAATGTAGCTGCGCAGATGCGGCGAGCAGAAGATTGAGTAAATTGGCACTGGCTTCCCCTGCGACATGGCCTCTGCAGAGCAATTCAAAGGCTTGTTCTTCGCAGTCTTCGTAGAGTTCACACTAAGGTCAAGTGGATTTGTCATGTAACCAGGAGAATGACAGAAACAGTAAAACAAAAAACATGGGCCAGTAAAAAAAAAAACGGTTCGCAAGCTTAGTATCCTTAACATCGTTATCGGTACATTTCCTCTGACAGTGGTTTACTCTATGAAAAGCCGTTATCGGAAATTTTCCTCCGGTTATCGGTGACAAAAGTTGAGGGGCCCACCAATTCTAAACGAAGAGTCGCGGGTCATTTTACCGTCCCATGTTTCTCAGTTTGCCTGAAAGGGCAACACTACCTTACCCCTTCCAGCACCTGTCTACCCACCAGAGTGCTTGTGACCGCCCGTGTTGAAGCTCTGCAAAAATGGATGACAAGGAAAGGCTTTCTTCTGTGTTTGAACAAGTACGTGCTCGGCTATGCAGCTGCTCACAACTCCGATTTCAATTTCAGCCAACAGTCAATTGCATGCCGAGTATGACTTGCCGCTGGCAATTGTCTTCCATCAGCGCCACAAGCTGACCATAATCACTCACAACATGAGCAAGTGTTGCCTGCACTAACCTGCCGGCCGAAAAATCATCGCGTGCCCCACCTCTGAACCAACCCGCCGCCACGAAACAACACCAACCATTTCTCAACTCGCAACTCACTCCCATGCTCCTCGAAGGATTTGTACATGAGCGAAATGCAGAGCTCCTTCTCTGGACCGAAGGTCTTGAGGCACCATAGCTTGGGGTCCCCAGGCTCCGGCACAGGGACCACCCGTTCCTGCATCTGATCACAAGTTATCGCAAGCTGTCAGTGGCGCGAAGGCTGTCATGACATGGTCTACATGCAATCCACCACATCTCTGAATGCCAAAGCCCTCGCTCCTGCGAGGGGGCCACCTCAGCTTTGATGTCCTCGCCCCGCTCAGCCTTGCGTTCCAACTCCTCGACAGCCGGGCCATGTCTCATACTTTGACAGTGAGCAAGCAGTTATGCGATGTGGTGCCTGATACTTCTTCTCCAGCTCATCCAGCCGCTGTGAGTCGAACAAGCGCGCTGAACCCGTCAAAGGGCCACGTGCAGCGATCTGCAAGGAGACAAGACAGAAGTCTATGCAGCAACACTGCAGCAACTTTTTTGGTCCAGGGCGGTTTCGTACTTCTCTGTCACCGGCTAAGTGCGAGTCTACATATCTGCCAAAGCGCGGTGCCTCTTTCTGCAGCTGATCGAGCTCCGCAGCATCACGATTGAGCTTTCTTCGGAGCACTGCGCGGCTCTTGGCAGCGTCTTTGTCGCCAGAATCCTGTCAGAAACTGGTTTTGCGCATTGCGTAAAAGCAGCAGCGGCGGCGGCAGCAGCAGCAGCAGCAGCAGGAGAAGCAGAAATTAAAACGTCTGCAGGAGCAACGCCTTTGCCAGCCATCAGCTTGCAGAGGCAGAGGCCTCCCCCTTGCAACCAGGCGGCATCGATGAGTTCGTCGAGGTCGGATCCCTCGGCCTCTTCCTCGCCCTTTCCAGCTTCCTCTGCTTCCAGTTCAAAGAACTCTTCAGCCTTCCGCTTCCGCCGGCCGGCTTCTGCCATGGCTGTGCGAGGCGCTCGGCACAGTGCAAATGATGTGTACAAATTGGTATTCAGCTATTGTGTTTGTGCCGCTAGAGACCGCCACACATAAGGCGCTGCAAACACAAGCTAAGTATTCTGCTCAACCATCGGCTCAATGCCTTTCATGGCACCCAGACTTTGATTGCTGTCAGCCTAGTTAGATCTTGTTAGGCTGATGGGATGGCTTAAGGCTGGCTTGTAAGCACTGCAGTCAAATCCGCACTAATTACTAGGGTCTTGGACAATGACTGCACAGCAAGCGACTCAAACAGAAAGTGGCGTAGCTTCAGCCATCTAGTCTAAATTGACAGGAATAGGCTGCATCAGGTTGTTCTGCAAGCAGTCTTCGGCATCGGGACTTCATCGTAGCGCATGCGCAGAAGGGTCTTGCCAATGAAGGCCGAGCATCAAATGCAGGCAGCAGCCAGCGCCAGTTTCACTGCGAGCGGTGGCACTCGGAAGAAAGTACCCTGAGCAGCTATAACCTGCAAAGCAGCAAATAGCTTTGTTCAGAGCTTCGTGCCGCAGAATGCCATGCTGAAACACAACATCTTGGCGATCACTGCTCTGCATCTTGAGGCTCAATCTGTGTTTGTCCACGCATGGAGCTGTAGACTTTGATTTCGTGTAACAGATGCAAAACGAAGGTAGTCTCTGCCGAAACTATGTATTGCTCTTACCTCCAAGCCTCAATCGCGCGATCGAAGCACTGTTCCTCGGCAAGGCGCTTCGTCATATTTAAGTCTTAGTGTATGTGGCTGATCCAGCTTACGCGGGAAGCCGTGGTCAAGCAAAGCTGTCAGGAACACGAGCGGATGCCACCGTGTCATTTAGAATCTCTCACAGCATAGACCCATAGAATATGATGTATCGTTGGATGCTAGCTGATAGCACACGTGAAGTTGCTCTTTGCTTGCAACTCTCTGATGCGGGGAGTGTCTTTCGTAGGCCTCGTTTCTCCGCTCCCGATCCTCGAAAATTGTCTTTGCCCGGCTGATGCTCTTTCCTCCGTTGCACCCTCATGCACCATGTCTTGCTCAATCACGTGCTGAGGACTCTTCAGCACTTTCTTCAGGATACATATCTTTTCGGAACCTCCGTCTCAAAATGTCATTGTGGATGGCTGCCAAAGCTCTGCTCCTCGCGGAGAAACATTTCTTGAAGCTTGTCTCTTGGAGACTCCCAGATCACCCTTGCAGACGTAGATGATGCACTTGCTCCCCAGAAAGCTCTTGTTCCAAGCTGCTTTTCGCGTCGCACTTTGCTTGAAGAACAGGCTCTGGCAATGACGGACGCATTCGGACGCGCTTTGGGTCTTTGGCTGGGGGTGGGAGTTGCCTTCTGCGCACGGTGCGCCCAAAGCATTCTGTTCGTGATTTGTGCGAAACAGGAAGCGCTTCAATGTTGCTTTACTCTCGTACTAGCCGTAAGCATAGTGAGCTACAGTTAGATTTACACACCCGACGGAGACTGTCGCATTCATTTTCTAGCGTCGAAAGCAAACAGCCACATAGACATAAACCAATAGCAAGTAACAAGCATCGACATCAACCTATTGACAAGATCGGACTGCCCCTGCTATTCGACGTCATTCTCTTGCCGCTTCCAGGCACACCATTGCAACAGCTTCAATTTGACCAAACACAAACCACGGAAAACAAATTGTATCAGCAGACATTCATGACATCTGCCCGGCTTGTTGAAATGGCAATCGTTCGCATTGGACCGTTGCTTCCTCATGGTCTGTACTGTATACCCTGGACATTCAAGGTTTCCTGTACTGGGCCTCTCATGTAGCTCGCTAGGTTCGCTAGTGGTTCCCGTTCTTCACCATTGCGGGCTGTGGCTCAACTCATTCAATTGCTGACGCGCTTCTGCTTTGCTTTCACGGGATGGGGATAGAACACGTGCTTTTGCCTTGCTTTGCCGCGTAGGGTCGACCGACTAGCTGCCAGGCCATATGGCCTCCCCCCCGAGCTTCTCGTGTATGGATCCATTTCAGTGAAACCGATGGGCGGCTGCGGGTTCCACGAACAAAGTCCCACCCACAAACGATGGCGAGACGATTGCGTCAAGACCTTTTTTCTTGCAAAATCACTGGTGTTGGCTCATACCTTGCCCCTAAGGCAGTCAACTCCTCGACTTTGGAGAGAAGCGCCATCACATCCTCTCAGCCGTGAACCCGCCTTCAGCCAAGGATCCCAGGCAAATCCCACCAGAATGGAGTTTCCTCCGATCACCTGACTGGTGTGCCATTGTCGAATACGCTCAGGCAACATTAGGCAACATCAGGCGTTTCGAGTCCAGTTTTGTCTCTGCGAAATGCCAGCAACATCCAACCAACCACAAGGAGACTGTACTTAACTGTCTTAGCCGGAGGCTCGCTGAGCCCACCCCGCACTTTAGGGAGGAAACCGCAAAGCACAGGCACGAAAATTACCTGCTCAAGTCAGCATACCTTTTCAAAGGGGCTAAGATAGGAGCAACAACGTGATCCTGGCATGCAGGCTGCCTGTATGATGGCATGGTCCAAATCTTCACCCGTGGCTTCCAGGTCAGCCAATTTATCAAGCACCTCATTGAGCAGCGCTTGCTTGTCACAAGCAGCCCCCTTTGCAAGGTACCATGTGTTCAAGATGAAAGATCAAAACCTTGCCCCTGGCTTGAGTTATGCACATCGTTACACACACTGCGTTTACAACATGCTGAATCGCACGTAGCCTGAATTCAGGGCTCGGAGTTATATGCAAACCTCACATGCGTTGCAAGCATTCCGAGCCTCACCACATTTGGCCAAATCCCCAACTCCCCCTGAAAACCGCGTTCCAAGGCGTCTCAGAGGTCTTTGTTTGAGGACATCTTCCGGACCATTGAAGTCTTGGAAGGCCTTCAGAGCCCTGAGATGCCCTGAGGATTGGCCCCCTGAAGATTCATGAAGCCCTATGGCACATAAAAGAACTCACGTTTCAAATCTCTGCCACCACCTCTGCAATGTCGAGAATACCCTACCAAGCAGATACACACAGGCAATGAATCCACCTTGACTCAATGCGGCCGCTGCGAGAAACATAGAACAAAATGGAAGATGAGAAGTCGTCGTCTTCCTGCCCCTTTATGAAAGGCTCTGACCATGGACATGTAAATGGTCAGATGCTTGGACGCTGCATGCAGCGAAAGATACCCAAATTGCTACCACGGCAATGAAGGTGACCAGAGCTGCCAGAATCAGATGCAGTACCATCTTCTCCTAACCCAGCTTTGAGCCCGGAAGTGTTACAACATGATTATGAAAAGACCGAATCGTGTCCTCAGGGCCGTCCACGAACAGCTCTGTCGCCACCAGCCACTTGCACCCAAAGTACATACCTGAACAAAGCACTAGCTACATGCTGGTTCTACCGACTCTACATGTGAAGATCCGAAGCCCTCACCTGGTGCCAGAAACTATCTCACACGTTTTTGACATTGAGAAGCGGAAGCTCAAAAGGCCGAGCCGCACCATGCGAAGGCTTGATTGGAAGAAGCCCTTGGCGACAAACGTTTATGCCAGGCACAGGGTGAAGAAAGCCGACACATCGCGCAGAAGCATTTAATTTGTATGTGGGTCCATCTAAGGGCAGCGCAGCGCAACCTGGTATACACGAGGTTCTTCCTCATCTGCATCTTGTCCGACATGGAGGCCTGTGAATATGACTCGAACTGAACCTGCTACAAGACGAGGCATCGGGACTCAGCCGAACTTTTGCCTGCATACAGGTCCAAGGCGACCGTGCTTGCACAGAATAATGCGCCAGCCTTTGTCAATCAGTTTGGAAGTTGCAGTCCGTTGATATGGTTCTAGGAGGTATCAGAGGTCTGTTCAGCACAGGCCAGATCCAAGAGCACACGACCCGAGTTGAATGGAAAAGCAACATGCTAGTTGCTTTTTTCAATCTGCAGGCGAAAACCACTCTAATTTTTCTCGTGAACCTGAACAGGTCTACTGAGAGATTGCGCCAAGCGCGCCAAGATCAAAGAGCATGGAACCGTATGCTTGGCTGCAGAGCATCCAGCGGCGTGCAAGCGGCTCGAGAACAACAACTTCGACAGGGGATTGTTGTTATGTCGCCCGCCAGGTCACCATCAGCAGCGTCTCAATGTCGCTGATGCTGCGAGTTGTCTGCACGGCCCAACCATCCAGCCCTGGCATTCAGAAAATCATCTTGCAAGGCCAGCCCCTTCAGGCAGCAATTTGATGGCAACCCACTAGCACCACTGGAAACATGGATAAACTTCCATAAGTCTTTCCTCCAAACCGGGTGAACAGAGGAAAGAAGGCTTGGGACTCCAACTTGGGACCTTCCACGTCCGGCATGTGGCCAGATATCCAGAAGCGAACCGTCTGGACCTCATGGACTATGTGGGCTGGAGACAGATGACTTTCATAACAGATTCAGCACGAACATGGATTTGCTGATGAGCTGCTGTCAGGAAAGACAAGGTGAGCGCCAGGACGTTATCTTCTGGCTCCTCAGCCTCCTCGTGCCACATAATATAGCACCTAGCAGCTTAGGCACACACTTGCTGTTGCGAAGACATGACAAATGCTCTCCACAAGGACCCCGCTCGTGATACAGCTCTTCCATACGGTCGTCGTAAAGGCTTGAGAAAGTCTTCCAGTTGTCAGCGACTTTTCCTGGTCAACTTGTTCATGCAAAATCGGCTCACTCTTTGCGGGGCAAGAACCCGCTCGTCAACAGCTTTGGAGCAATTGCGACTAGGCGTGACTAGGCAGTTTCGTCGCAAGATTTCCTGAGTTTTCTTCATAGACCAAGCAGACACATCTGCCTGTCATCGCTGGCAGCAAGCTCCTTCAGGATTCTCCAGTTCAGCAGGACAAATTGCATTAGACGGAGTCTCAACAGGATGGCGGCTGCGGGTGCCACGGAAGGGGAGGCAGGGTGAAACAGCGTCTCACTGTGCCACCCGTGCACAAGTTCGATGTAGTCCGCTTGGCATACTTGTTTGACCCTAGAGAATACCGATTTTCTCTTTGCATCCGTTACGCGGAAGCTTACCAACTTACCTGAAGGAAAGTCAAAAGAACCAAGCGGTGATTGAATTTGCAGGTCCCGGCTTCTTGTGACACGCATTCGAAGCTGATCTTTCAGATGTTGGCAGGCGTAGTAAGAGTATCAGTTATTCTTATTCGGAATGTGTGGTGTCAATTTTCTGAGATGGCCTTGGAGTTTTTGAGACCAGAAAAGGAAACGTGGCTTAGCAGCGCGTACAGTCTACACCAATCCCCAACCCTCTGCACGACCCACCAACTGCTCCCTCAGGACACCGGGGTGTCTTGAGCAAGTGTTCCAATAAGCGAGAGCGGCAAGTTAAGTTGCTTCCAACATTTTGCCTGGCGTTTGACATGGAAGAGTTTGTGCAGGCCTGGGTGGGCTGATGTTTGCAGTTTATTCGTGTTTTACTGTTGTTTAACAAGGGACAGTTTCTCACCTTGGTGCCGCCTTTGCTTTGAGGCATTTTGTCAGCGAAAGTATACAAAGTACATAAATGTATGTAACAGTTTGCGCGCATATTATGCGCGAATGGGCTGGGTCTGGGTTTGGATTGCTGTTCTGCGAAGAATGACCTGGAAAAATGTCTAGTTGGTTCTAGGGTTTGAGGCCGTTCTGCATAAATCATCCGGGTGTAGGGTTTGGATGGTTGTTCTACAGTCCAGGGTTTGCATGGCCACCATGCGGAAACTGAGCAGGTCCAGGGTTTGGGTGGGCTTTATGCTAGATGAGCTGGGACTAGGGGCACCAGAGTCTGGGGCTTTGGGTCTAGTGTTTAAAGGGCTGCAGCGGGGTAGCACGCCGATTCTTCTCAAACAAAAGCAACTCACTTCTGCGCTGTTTCAGGCATTTGCAAGGCTTATACATGCATATTTCTAGGTAGTTTTCTTTTCCTGTGTGTTATAGAAGAGTTTCAGACGGCTTTATAGTGCAGACTTCTAAAATCTCCGCATCCGTTGTGTGCGTCGTCCCGCAAGGCGGAGAGCAACAGGCGAAGCTTTGGAGACATGATAAGTGTGCTGCCTGCCATCTGTCCTTTGACACGCTCTGGCAAGCTCTTGCACCCTCTGGATTCGGATGGCTGGGCTTGGTGCATTTGGTGTTAGGTTCTTCCGGAATGTTCTTTTCTTTGCATGCTGCCAGTATCCGCCAGTCGTGCACATGCGTGACATGCCTGCCGGAAGCAGATATGCGGACATAATCTGAAAGGGCTGGGTGTTTTTTCTTATGCTGCAAGTGTTTTTTCTTATGCTCCGGGCTGGTGGGTGCTCGGTTTTATGTCGTGTTTTTTTCTGTTATGCGGAAATGTTTGTTTTGTTAATCTTCCCTTTGTCAACGTGCTTGGTTTTGTGCCGACCGTGTTTTTTCTTATGCCCCCCCCCGCCCCCCGCGCACAGAGCATCAACATACTTTTC